TGCAATGGAGCATCGACCAAGACCAACGCAACCTGCTAAAGCTCAAGCTACTGCGCGCTCGACCTGCCTGATGCTGGTAACCTTGCTCGCGATCACTCCTGCCACTGGGAGCCCACACACTCCCTATAATGTTACCTGGCAAATTATAGACACTAACTCAGGGGTAGTTCTTAATCAGACTTCTTGGATCCACCCCAAAAATACCTGCTTCCCTGAGCTGCGAGTAGACCTCCAAACTCTCTTCCCAATGAACAACGGACTCTGGGGGACCCAGATCTGCCTGTCTGCTGCAATACGCCAAGGGGATGATGACTCAAAACCATTAAGAACTCTCTATTTTTATGTCTGCCCCAGGCATTCGCGAGCTCGGAATTGGGAAAATGACCCCTGTGGAGGCACTGGAGACTATTTCTGTGCTTCCTGGTCGTGCGTGTCAACCGGGCACATTTGGTGGGAGGTCCCAAAGAAGGGTGACCTAATCACCGTCGGATGGCCGCCTTCTCCACCTTGCCCCCCGCATGGCCGTAGCCACTGCACCCCCTTGAGCATCTCCTTCACAAAAGAGGGAAGAGCGGCTACTGGATGGGACACTGGAAAGACTTGGGGATCCCGAATTTATACTTGCAGGGGGAACTTGCATTCTGCAGACCCTGGAATGTTGTTTACCCTCCGAGTCCAAAACAGCCCCCTTCACTATAATTCCCCTGTGGGAGTGGGGCCCAACAAGGTACTGGTTCCTCAGCCTCGGCCTACTACACCCCGAGTGTCCACAACCGGAGGAACCTGGGCCCCGGCATCACAGCCCTTTACCCCACCTGTGCCTACCACGGGGAACCTGGCCCCGGGTCATGCCTCACCGTCTGAAGCAGACCCTCTTTTAAGCATGGTCATAGGAGCCTATTATGTTTTAAACGCCTCCAGGCCCGACCTAACCAAATCTTGCTGGCTCTGTCTAGATGTCGAACCACCGTATTATGAGGGTGTCGCGGTTAAGGGCAATTATACAACAGCCATGACTGTCAGCTCCTGCAGGTGGCAGCAAGCTGCTGCAAGACTAACCCTTCAGGCAGTAATGGGGCAGGGGGCTTGCATAGGCAACGTACCCTCTGAGCGGTTGCATCTCTGCAACTAAACTCTAGCTACCCCTGACGAGGCAGCATATCTTTTGCCTCCTGAGAATGCATGGTGGGCCTGTTCCAGTGGCCTCGCTCCTTATGTCCACTCCCTGGTCCTTAATTCCCAGAAGGAGGGCTTTTGCATACTCGTGCAGTTAATTCCCAAGTTGATGTACCACTCAGAGAAAGAAGTACTTGATAAATTCGATCCCCGAAGTAGAAGGGAGCCTGTCACTGCCCTAACTATGGCAGCCCTCTTGGGATTAGGACTAGCGGGAGCAGGGACTGGAATATCCTCGCTTGTCATATAAGACAAGAACTATGGAGCCCTAAGAGCAGCCATTGACTTAGACATAGAAAGAATTGAAAAATCTATTACCCATTTACAGGAATCTCTCACTTCCTTGTCTGAAGTAGTGCTCCAGAACAGGACTAGACTTGCTATTCATGCAACAGGGGGGCTTATGTGCAGTTTTGGGAGAGGAATGTTGCTTTTATGTTGACCATTCAGGTGTGGTTAAAGAGTCTATGGCCCTCATAAGGGAAGGATTGCAGAAGCGAAAGCTAGAGAGAGAGCGGTCTCAGTCTTGCTATGAATCCCTGTTTAGTTGGTCCCCATGGTTAACCATTCTTATTTCCACCCTCGTCGGACCCCTTGTAATCCTCCTGATGTTGCTAACTTTTGGCCCTTGTATCATCAACAAACTAATCCAATTTGTCAAGGAACGCATAGGGGTGGTTCAGTTAATGGTCTTACAAGCCCAATACCGGCCTCTAGCAATGGAAGACAAGATGGAAATGCAGTCCGTCTCGTGATTGAGCCGTGAGTTCCAAGACAAGGGGGGACTGAAAGGACAAAGCAGAAACAGACTCTCTCCCGCTCCTCCATCTTTTCTTGTACGGCTGGGCCCTCAGCCCAAACCCCCTCCCTTTTCTGAGTGACCACAGGAATGCCAGTAATGTCCTAATTCCCCCAACCACCTCTTGAGTGGACCAATGAAGCTCCAGGAACACAGCCAAGGTCCTAATAAGGCTATACCACAGGATACTCCCTATGCGTCACTGATGACCAATCAGGAAATGGTGGGGGATGGCTCAAACTTTAGAATGTGTTGGTCACTTCCTAACTTTTGTACTGTAAGACCCTGCTAAAAAAAAAACCCCTGACCTAAATGACCAATCTCTGTAACCTACGTCACTTACCTAAGCCCACCCAAATGACTAGCCCTATATAACCTTTGTTCTCCTGGGGCTCGCTCTCGCTCATCTCGCCACTGCGTCACATAGAGGCTGGGAGCCAAACCCGGGTTTGAATAAAGACTCTTTGCTTTTGCATCGGAAAAGGCTCCCTGGTGGTTGGTTATTGGGGACCCCGAACTCTGGGCATAACAGGCTTGGGACCTGGTCTCAGAAAACAATCTCCCCAAGGTTGCACACCTAGGCTCAAATACAGCACCCTCTACCCGCCTGGGCGCAGAGCCTGGGCGAGGGCAACAAACTCCCCAGGTTCCCACGTCCAGGTTCAAATTCAGCGCAGCCTCTCTGCTAGGGTGCAGGGTCTGGTTGTGGGAAACAAACTCCCCAGGTCTGCACCCCCAGGACCAAATTCAGCGCTGTCTCCCCGAGTGGGCACAGGACCCAGTCGCAGAAAATGAAAGGCGCGCCGCCCGCCTCTCCGGGCGGTGCGGGAGGAGGAGTCTGGCTGCTGGGCTCTGGGATCCCTCCGCGGCCGCCGGCCTCCCCGGAGCGGGTCCGAGTGTCCGGGCCGGCTGCGTGGTGGCCGGCGGCGGGCCGAGGGGTGGGGCCGGGCGGCGACCGACCGCGGGGGAGGTCATGGGAGCGGAAGGCCTCACCGCTTGGCTCTTCCCTCCCTTCCCCCGTGGTCGGCTCCCCGCTTGCCCGCGCTGGGGCCAGGGGTCCATGCGGCCCTTGGGGCCCGGTCGGGGGGGCCGGGGCCTGCGTGGGCCAGCCGCTGGGCCCCATGGGGGGGGCATTGGCTCCCCAGCCCACGGCGGGAGCCCGGCGTGGGCTGCCACCCGCCCGCTGCCCCCCGGACCGGGCCCAGTGCAGCAGCGGCGGCAGCGGAGTGGGGCGCGTGCCCTAGCTCGGGGAGGCCGCCATGCTGCAGTGCACCGGCCCCATGGCCGGGCCTGCTCGGAGCGGATGCTGCTCCTCCAGAGCTGGGCCGCTCCACCGGCCGCACCCCGTTTGCTTTGCTGGGCCTGTGCTGCCCAGACGCGCTAGAGTCCCAGTCTGCCCGCAGGCCAGCTGCGGGGGCTGTGCGGGAGGGCCATCCTGCCTTGTGGTGAGTTCTAGCGGCAGCAGCAGGAACCGGACAAGGACTGCGCCCTCCATCTTGCCTTGGGGCCTCCATCTTGGGACAGAGCCACGTGCGCCCTCCATCTTGCCTTGGGTCCTCCATTTTGGGACGGTACCATGTGCTTCCTCACGGGAAGAAGCCGCTACTAGCCACACCCAGGATTTCTCTGGACTAACCAATAATAATCAAGGGAAGTGCACGCCATCACTATGACCGACTTGCGCCTGGCCAATCAGCGGGGCCCACAGTCCCCTCTCCTGCCCTCACTCCACCCCCCTTTAAAACCCCCTGTCCCATCAGGCGTCTCTCTCTCTCGGCCACTGGAGCTTACCTGTGCATCGGTGAGTGTGGCAGGGGAGCCAAACCTAGGTTTGAAGTAAATGACTCTTTGCTTTTGCATCGGACTGACTGGCTCCCTGGGGGTCTTGGGAACTTTGAAATCTGGGCACAACATTTTGGGGGCTCGCCCGGGGTTCCCGGGACCATCGAGGGACCCCTAGTCCGAAGAGTCTGACTGACCGCGCGGTAGGTGTGTTGTTGTTTGTTGTGTGTTCTGTTCGGTGTGAGCTCGTTTCTGGAATCTGTAATTGCCTGAGGGGTCTAGGTGGACGCGCCCAATAAAGACCACAGGCGGGGGGGGAGTTGGAAGACGTTCCGCCCCCCCAGGAGGGATGGATATGCCCCTCAGAGGGATGGATATGCCCCTCGCGGAAAGCAGGTCGCTCCTGCTAGCTAGTCTGGTATAAGGCCATTGTCTAGCTTTCGGGTTTGGCTTCCATGGAGTTGGAAGCCTGTTTTGGTTTTGCTTCCATGGAGTTGGAAGGCTGTATTTTCGGGCCCGTTTGTTGTTTGTGTTTGTGTCTTTTTGGTTTTATTTTGTGGACTCACTGGACGGACATTATGGGACAGACTCAAACTACTCCTTTAAGCATTATGGTCGATCATTTCAGAGAGGTAAGGGAAAGAGCCAGGGACCTCAGTGCAGAGGTTCGGAAAGACCGGTTGCAGACTTTTTGTTCCAGGGAGTGGCCAACTTTGGACGTTGGGTGGCCGCCGGAGGGGACTTTTGACCTCCCCACCATCCGCCGAGTCAGGGATGTCGTCTCCCAACTTAGGGGGGGACGTCCTGGTCAGCTTTCTTACATTGTTACTTGGCAGGACCTCGTGGAAGACCCGCCATCTTGGCTCAGGCCCTTCCTACCTCCACGTCCTCCTGGGCCGAAGCCCATTCTTGCTTTGCAGAGAACGGAAAAGGAGGAGAGGAGGAGGACTCTCACCCAGCCTTCAGCCCCTCCCCTCCCTATCCTGCAGGGGGGTACTGAAGAAGAACTAATCTTTCCTCCCCCATATAGCCCACGGGGGGACGAACCTTCCACACCGGGAGTGGCTGGGGGCGGAGTTCTGGGAGTGGCTGGGGGCGGAGTTCTGGGAGTGGCTGGGGGCGGAGTTCTGGGAGTGGCTGGGGGCGGAGTTCCGGGAGTGGCTGGGGGCGGAGTTCTGGGAGTGGCTGGGGGTGGAGTTCTGGGAGTGGCCTCAGTAGGAGGCCCGCCTCTCACCCGGCAGAGGGCTCAGCGGGAACTCTCTGCTGCAGCACCTGACTCCACTATCAAGACCCTGCCCTTAAGGGCCGCTGGACCCCCGGATGCGGATGGCAACCAGCCCTATCATTATTGGCCTTTTTCCACATCCGATCTCTATAACTGGAAGGCACAAAACCCCAAGTTTTCTGAGAAACCAGGGGGACTTATTGACTTGCTAGATTCTGTTCTTTTCACCCATCAGCCCACATGGGACGACTGTCAGCAGCTTTTACAGGTTCTGTTCACGACGGAAGAGAGAGAAAGGATCCTCAGTGAGGCCCGGAAAATGGTTCCAGGCGTGGACGGAAACGCAACTGCCAACCAGGTCCAGATAGATGTCTCTTTTCCCTTAATTAGGCCTGAATGGGATTTCAACACGGCAGAAGGTAAGGAGAGGCTTTCGGTCTACCGTCAGACCCTAATGCGGGGTCTCAGAATGGCTGCTAGAAAGCCAACTAATTTGGCCAAGGTGGGGAATGTTCAGCAGGAAAGGGATGAGTCTCCAGCTGCCTTTTTAGAACGGATCATGGAGGCTTACCGCACCTACACCCCCATGAATCCAGAAGCTCCTGAAAACAAGGCAGCTGTGATCATAAGCTTTGTAAACCAATCGGCCGCGGATATTAAAAGGAAACTACAAAAAGTAGATAGGTTGGGAGAGAAGAGTTTACAGGATTTACTGGCAGTGGCAGAGAAGGTGTACAATAACCGAGAGTCTCCAGAAGACAGGCAGGCTCGCGTCGTGGCTGCCACTAGCAGTAGGCAAGCTCGGGACCTGGCTAGGGTCCTGCTGGCTACGACCATGGACTTCCCCAAGGGGCGAGACCGTCGCCTCCGACAGCTTGTAAGCAATAAAGGAAGAGGTAAGCAGACCACCCAAGAGGGGAGGCGGGGGCTACGGAAGGATCAATGTAAGTTTTGCATGGACATAGGGCACTGGGCTCGAGAATGTCCGAAGAAGGCCGGTGAGAAGGGAGACAGGACTGACCGAGTCAAGGTCTTAGAGCTGGGTGAACTGAGTGATTAGGGGAGTCAGGGTTCGGACCCCCTCCCCGAGCCCAGGATAACTCTCAGAGTGGAGGGGACTCCTGTTAACTTCCTTGTTGACACCGGGGCACAACATTCGGTCCTCCGTACCCCGCAAGGAAAACTGGCGAATAAAAAGTCCTGGGTGCAAGGAGCAACTGGTATGAGCCAGTATTCATGGACTACCCGAAGGACAGTAGATTTAGGAACAGGCCAGGTATCCCACTCTTTCATGGTAATACCAGAATGCCCCTACCCACTATTGGGACGGGACCTACTGACCAAACTTGGAGCTCAAATAACTTTCAGACAGGGGGGGCCTCAGGTCACTGATGGGGAGGGCCGCCCCATTCAGGTCCTGACCATGAGGCTAGAGGATGAATATCGCCTCTACCAGAAGACTTCCCTGGTGGAGGGCAGTATGGACAAATGGCTACAAGAATTCCCAACAGCATGGGCAGAGACAGGAGGGGTGGGGCTGGCCGCCCACAGGGCCCCAGTCCTGGTAGAACTAAAACCAGGAGAAGGTCCGGTAAGAATCAAGCAGTACCCCATGCCTCAGGAGGCACGGAAGGGAATTCAGCCTCATATCAGGAGACTGAAGAGCTTGGGGGTGTTAGTTCCCTGCCAGTCTGCGTGGAACACTCCCCTACTGCCAGTTAAAAAGCCCCAGACAAACGACTACAGGCCAGTACAGGACCTCCGAGAAGTAAATAAAAGAGTTATGGACATACACCCAACAGTCCCAAACCCGTACACTCTCTTGAGCTCCTTGTCGCCCTCTAAAGTCTGGTACACGGTATTAGATCTGAAGGATGCCTTCTTCAGTCTACCCCTAGCACCTCAAAGTCAGTCCCTCTTCGCCTTTGAGTGGCATGACCCAGAGGAGGGCGTCAGTGGACAGCTGACTTGGACACGCCTACCCCAGGGGTTCAAAAACTCGCCCACCATCTTCGACGAGGCGCTGCACGAAGACCTGGGTGAGTACAGAAGGGAACACCCCAACCTCACCCTCCTCCAGTATGTAGATGACATCCTGATTGCTGCAGACACAGCCAAGGACTGTGAGCGGGGGACCCAAGATCTATTGGCCACCCTGGGGGCCTTAGGGTACCGGGCATCCGCGAGGAAGGCTCAGTTATGTCGAGAAAGGGTGAGTTACCTGGGATACATCCTAGAGGGCGGGCAGCGGCGGTTATCGGATGCCAGAAAAGAGACTGTTTTGAAAATCCCTACTCCCACCTCCAGAAGAGAAGTAAGGGAATTCCTAGGATCGGCCGGCTACTGCCGCCTCTGGATACCGGGTTTTGCCGAAATCGCCAGGCCCCTATATGAAGCTACCAAGGAGGGAAGGGCGTTTGACTGGACTGAGAAAGATGAAACTGCCTTTAGGCAGTTAAAGAAGGCCCTTCTAGGTGCTCCAGCCCTGGGCCTGCCAGATATTACGAAGCCCTTTCACCTCTTTGTAGATGAACACAAAGGGATAGCGAAAGGGGTCTTGACTCAAGCTTTAGGCCCCTGGAGCCGCCCAGTGGCTTATTTGTCCAAGAAGTTAGATCCTGTAGCTGCCGGCTGGCCACCATGCTTGAGAATTATCGCGGCAACAGCGCTCTTAGTCAAGGACGCTGACAAATTGACCCTGGGGCAGGAAATCTGGATCACAACCCCACATGCCATTGAGGGAGTCCTGAAGCAGCCTCCTGACAGATGGATGAGTAATGCACGTATAACCCATTACCAGAGCCTCCTACTCAACCCTCCAAGAGTGCGGTTCCACCCCACTGCGGCCCTCAATCCTGCTACTTTGCTGCCCGACCCTGACTTAGATGCCCCACTACACGACTGTGCAGGAATCCTAGAGCAGGTACATGGACTCCGGAAGGACTTGACCGACCAGCCCCTCCCTGATGCAGAGGCCACCTGGTTCACGGATGGGAGCAGCTTTGTGCGGGACGGGTGCAGGTACGCGGGTGCAGCGGTGGTCACTGAAACGGACACTGTGTGGGCGGAGGCCCTGCCCTCTGGGACGTCAGCCCAGCGAGCAGAACTCATCGCCCTTACTAAGGCACTGACACTGGGGGCTGGGAAGCGGCTTAACGTTTACACAGACAGCCGTTATGCATTTGCTACAGCTCATGTCCACGGGGCAATCTATCAGGAGAGAGGGCTGCTGACGGCAGAGGGACGGACAATAAAAAATAAGCAGGAGATTCTCGATCTGCTTGCGGCCTTATGGCTTCCTGCCAAGTTAGCCATAATCCACTGCCAGGGGCACCAGAAAGCCGATGACCCGGTAGCAAGAGGTAACCAAAAGGCTGACCAGGCTGCGAAGGCAGTAGCCCTTACCTCGGTCCCTACCATGGCCTTACAACTCCCAGACCCAGGGGACCCAGTCTTACCAGACCAACCCAAGTACTCCCAGGAAGAATTGCAACGCATCAGAAAGCTCCCCAGAGCCCAGGAAATAAAGGGATGGTGGCATACATCAGAAGGGGAACTCATACTGCCAGACCGGCTCGGGGACACGGTATTAGAACATATGCACCGGTCCACTCACCTGGGAACCCGGAAAATGAAGGACTTAATCCGACATGCCGGGATCAAGATTCACCAGCAGGATACCAAGATAGATCAGGTTGTATCTGCCTGCAAGACCTGTCAACTCACAAACACAAGAGCTGGATCAAATGAAAGAGGGACCAGGCTCAGAGGCACCAAACCAGGAGCACAATGGGAAGTCGACTTCACTGAAATTAAACCAGGGAAGTATGGTTATAAATATCTTTTAGTATTTGTAGATACCTTCTCTGGCTGGGTAGAGGCATACCCTACCAAGCATGAAACAGCTCAGACGGTGGCCAAGAAGCTACTGGAAGACATCTTACCCAGGTATGGTTTTCCTGCTATGATAGGGTCCGACAACGGGCCAGCCTTTATTTCACAGGTAACACAGGTAGTAACCAGGGCTATTGGGGCAAATTGGAAATTACATTGTGCTTATAGACCCCAGAGTTCGGGTCAGGTAGAAAGAATGAACAGAACTCTAAAAGAGACCCTTACCAAATTAACTATGGAGACGGGTGGGGACTGGGTGGCTCTCCTACCGTATGCCCTTTACCGGGTAAGGAATTCCCCATACACCCTGGGCTTTACTCCCTATGAAATCATGTTTGGCAGGCCACCCCCTATCATTCCTAACCTTAAAGCTGACCTTCTCGCTGAATTTGAAAATCAAGAACTATCTCTTTCTTTGAGAGGGCTTCAGAAGGCACATGAGGACATTTGGCCACGTCTCCGCGCCATCTACGAGGCCAGCCCAACCCCAACTCCTCATCAGCACAGACCAGGAGATTGGGTCTACGTCAGAAGGCACCGCCGGGAGACCTTGGAGCCACGTTGGAAGGGTCCCTACACTGTGGTGCTGACGACCCCCACCGCTCTCAAGGTAGATGGCGTCGCGACCTGGGTCCACCACACTCACGTGCGGTCAGCAGAACCATCCATGACCCGGAAAGACTTCATCACCAAATGGAGCATCGATCGAGATCAGTGCAACCCGCTCAAGCTCAAGCTACGGCGTGCTCGACCTGCCTGATGCCGGTAACATGGCTCGCGATCACTCCTGTCACCAGGAGCCCCCACAATACTGTGTAATACACTTAGATACTGCCTGCATCTTCATGGACATGGCTCCAAAGAGACAAGGACAATTTATAGGATCACATGTTTAGTAGCAGAAGATTTGGCTGCCTAAAGCAGCCATGATGTTTATATTAACCTTTGATTCTTTTGCAGGTATGTTGGCTGTCCTGGAAGGGAGCTGTGTGGGGTGACCCCCAAAAGTAAAGGGTGTCTAGCTGCCAAGGGGGCAGGTGCCCAACTGGGCAGGAAAGGGTGCCCATCAGGTTTTGGACTCTGTTGAGAGACAGCTAACAGTTGGCAGCCTGTATACTGCCTTGCAGGCCTGAGTCACCATGCCCATGTCAGGGGTAGTAAAGCTGGAAAAAGAAAAAAAAAAAAAAAAAAAAAAAAAAAAGCCTGTTTAGAATAGAAGGTCTGGGGCATAGTTATGCATAGGTAGGTTTTATGCCAACAGTTACTGTTTTGTTTTAAATCCATGAAAAGGAATTAGCAAGGAAAGTCAGAAAATCTTAGAGTAGATCAGTATGTTCTTCTCCTTATGTAATTCCTCCGGAATCTGGCAATATGCGAAGGGATTTATTCCCTCCTGGGAGGGCACTTAAGCATTCTGTATTGCCAAAAGGATCCCAATTGTCTACAGCTGTTGTCTGAGCTCTCCGTTCAAGCTGGGTTTATGAAAAGCTGGTACCATAGATCTGTCTCTTACCCAATGGCGTAAGCTGGGCCCTCTCTGGAGAAGAAACCTGGGTTTCCCAAGAGATGTGATCAATGCCGGGGCCCCGCCAGCAGGCGAGGGGAACCCAAGGCGGGTGCTGGGCGTGGAGGCCATAGGGGGCATGGCTAACAAGGAGACAGAACTGAACCTCACATCACCCTACTTGGCCCAGAGATGGTTGGTAGTCAGAGACGGGTAAGACTCCACAGAGGTGGGGCGACCTAAGACAGACACAGCCGAGGGCCAGTAGGAGAGAACTTGGGGTTCAACAGAGGTGGGGCACAGATCCTCACCCCCCCAATGGTGCAGGGGCTTGAACACTCGCCCCTTCTGAAGAAGGTCTCCTGTCCCCGTGGCTGCTTCTTGCTTCCCATGCCCAGCCCAGACCAGGAACCAAATAACAGAAGAGACTTGGTCCAGCTGAAAATGGTGCCCAGAAAAACGGAGGCTTAATTCAACAGACTCTAAATTTAAACCTAGCCTAACAAACAGGAATGCTTGAGCCTCTTCAAGGCAAATAGTACTAAATCTTGATTTGGTTTTTTTGTGATAACCATGGAGGAATTCTAAGAAGAAAGATCCTATTTCAATAGAAGTTATTAAATCTAAAATGGTTTCTTTCACTTCCACTGGACCATTTGTTAACCTTATAGGGATAGTTCAGTTGATAGTTTTGGTAGAATAGAATTGCAGTCCGTCTCATGATTGAGCCAGAAGTTCCAAGACAAGGGGGGAATGAAAGGCGCGCCGCCCGCCTCTCCGGGCGGTGCGGGAGGAGGAGTCTGGCTGCTGGGCTCTGGGATCCCTCCGCGGCCGCCGGCCTCCCCGGAGCGGGTCCGAGTGTCCGGGCCGGCTGCGTGGTGGCCGGCGGCGGGCCGAGGGGTGGGGCCGGGCGGCGACCGACCGCGGGGGAGGTCATGGGAGCGGAAGGCCTCACCGCTTGGCTCTTCCCTCCCTTCCCCCGTGGTCGGCTCCCCGCTTGCCCCGCGCTGGGGCCAGGGGTCCATGCGGCCCTTGGGGCCCGGTCGGGGGGGCCGGGGCCTGCGTGGGCCAGCCGCTGGGCCCCATGGGGGGGGCATTGGCTCCCCAGCCCACGGCGGGAGCCCGGCGTGGGCTGCCACCCGCCCGCTGCCCCCCGGACCGGGCCCAGTGCAGCAGCGGCGTGGGGCGCGTGCCTAGCTCGGGGAGGCCGCCATGCTGCAGTGCACCGGCCCCATGGCCGGGCCTGCTCGGAGCGGATGCTGCTCCTCCAGAGCTGGGCCGCTCCACCGGCCGCACCCCGTTTGCTGGGCCTGTGCTGCCCAGACGCGCTAGAGTCCCAGTCTGCCCGCAGGCCAGCTGCGGGGGCTGTGCGGGAGGGCCATCCTGCCTTGTGGTGAGTTCTAGCGGCAGCAGCAGGAACCGGACAAGGACTGCGCCCTCCATCTTGCCTTGGGGCCTCCATCTTGGGACGGTACCATGTGCTTCCTCACGGGAAGAAGCCGCTACTAGCCACACCCAGGATTTCTCTGGACTAACCAATAATAATCAAGGGAAGTGCACGCCATCACTATGACCGACTTGCGCCTGGCCAATCAGCGGGGCCCACAGTCCCCTCTCCTGCCCTCACTCCACCCCCCTTTAAAACCCCCTGTCCCATCAGGCGTCTCTCTCTCTCGGCCACTGGAGCTTACCGGTGCATCGGTGAGTGTGGCAGGGGAGCCAAACCTAGGTTTGAAGTAAATGACTCTTTGCTTTTGCATCGGACTGACTGGCTCCCTGGGGGTCTTGGGAACTTTGAAATCTGGGCACAACAAAAACAGTGTCCTCAACAATGTGCACCCAGGCCCAAACTCAGCAGTCTCCCTGCCTGGGTGCATAGCTTAGTAGTGGGAAATAAATTCCCCAAGTTCGCACACATCCAGACTCAAAAACAGCACTGTCTCCCTGCCCTGCGTGGGCGCGGGATCTGGTCCCAGGAAACAGAATCACCAACGATGCGCACCCAGGCTAAAACTCAGCACAGTCTGCCCGCGGAGTCTGGTCGTGGAAAATAAACTTCCCGCCTCCGACACCAAGGCTAAAAGTCAGGCAGAGCTGCTGCTGCTGCTGCTGCTGCTACTGTGTGCAGACAGCCCCACTGTGCAGCCAGGGTCTGGCAGTTCCTATGCCGCTGACCTGGGGGGCGGCTGGGGAGGGGGATTGGCTTTGTGACCCACAGAAATCTGTGGCCGGGGTGCCTGGAGTCTTGGTGTCCCTGAGTCTGCAGCTGTAGTCTCAGGTCTTCTACCAGAGCGGCTGTGGGGTTCCGATTTGCTACCGAGACCAGACTGGGTGGTGGCAAGGCTACGATCCCACCCTCAAGCAGTTCCGTTCTTCAAGATGGCGTGGTCTCCGCGCCGCTGGTGTCCTCCCCGGAGTGTTTGCAGCGGCAGCGGGGTTTTGCGGTCTAAGACTGCCCGGATTGGCAGCCCCCTGAAAAACCTGCAGGACCTAACTGTCCCTATTTCACTCTCACACACACCCATACACGTCCACACACTCCTCTATGGCTCCCTCACTCTCTCACACACTCTCCCTCCCTGCCTTCCTGCCGATCGCCATCTTTCCTCTCCCCGAGGAATGTTATTTCTATTTGCAGGGTATCAGCTTTAATTAAAAAGAAAATGAGCCGAAACCAGTTTGGCTCAGTGGATAGAGCGTCGGCCTGCGGACTGAAGGGTCCCAGGTTCGATTCCGGTCAAGGGCATGTACCTGGGTTGCGGGCACATCCCCAGTGGGAGATGTGCTGGAGGCAGCTGATCCATGTTTCTAACTCTCTGTCTTTCTCCCTTCCTCTCTGTAAAAAATCAATAAAATATATTTAAAAAAAAAAAGAAAGAAAATGAGAAGCAAACTACTTCGTCATAAAATTAATGTTTCCTGAGGTATGATGTCTTTAATAATTTTTTTTTTTGTTTGCTGATACAATTTGGTATGGGATACAAAATATTTATGACAGAGGTGTTTTTAGTCACATTGACACTGGGGTTAATGTATCAAGAGTTCTGTAAACATTAAAATCTTATGACCACAGAATTCTACTTCTGAGGATCAATACTGATCAAATACTAAACATTCCATACTGAATTACAATAAAATACTAAATAATCCTCACATTCTGCTGGTTATCTTGCTGTTTATTTCACCAAGGAATTAGAAGCAATTGAAAGAAAAACAGTTCTTCTCTTCACCACATTATCCAACCAATTTATGTGCATATCCTTACCATAGGCATAATTTTCCTTCATAAATTGGCTCCTACTCTTTCCCATCTACTAAAGGTCATTGCTTACAAAACAATCTTTTTTTTAAAAAATATATTTTATTGATTTTTTACAGAGAGGAAGGGAGAGAGATAGAGAGTCAGAAACATCGATGAGAAAGAAACATCGATCAGCTGCCTCCTACACATCTCCTACTGGGGATGTGCCCGCAACCAAGGTACATGCCCTTGACCGGAATCGAACCTGGGACCTTCAGTCCGCAGGCCGACGCTCTATCCACTGAGCCAAACCGGTTTCGGCAACAACTCCTTCAATTTTCCTCTCTTTGAAATCATTGCCTTCAGCCTATAAATGTGTTCTAATATTACACACCTTAAAAAAAAATGCATTTCCTTTATCCCATGCATGCTTTTATGGCAAAGTTCTCCGAGTTGTGTATACTTATTTTTACTACTGCCATACCTTTCATTTCCCTTTTCTTTTATCTTCCAATAACTTTTTTAAAAAATATATTGATTTTTTACAGAGAGGAAGTGAGAGAAATAGAGAGTCAGAAACATCAATGAGTGAGAAACATCGATCAGCTGCCTCCTGCACACCCCCCACCGTGGATACCCTGCAACCAAGGTACATGCCCTTGACCGGAATCGAACCCGGGACCCCTCAGTCCGCAGGCCGCCGCTCCATTCACCAAGCCAAACTGGTCAGGGCCTTCCAATAACTTTAAAAGAAAACTTTATTACAAGAGCATTATTAACATCCACAAAAAGGAATAATAAACATCCATGTATCTATGACCCAGCCGCATCAACCCAAGCCCAATCCTAGCCTATTCTGTTCACATTATTTTTTATTTATTTATTTTTATTTTTTTTATTTATTAAGTTTTTACATATGTGTCCTTATCCCCACATCACCCCCCCCCCCCATCACCCCCACTCATGCCCTCACCCTCCTGTTGTCTGTGTCCATTGGTTAGGCCTATATGCTTGCATGAAAGTCCTTTGGTTGACCT